TGTCCTGCACGTTCCTATATGCAGTGTAGCCTGTTAATCTGGCATATTTCTTCCCAGAATGGTTCTGGATGGAGCGCCCCTCATTGCCATCCATAAAGCTCGCTACTATAAACGTAAGGATGGTTTGGCCCTCGGGCCCGGGCCCTTTGTGACAGGACTGGAGTACGCCACAGACTGTAAAGCTACTGTGGTGGGAAAACCTGAAAAAACTTTTTTCACACAGGTTAGAAATTGATATTTTTTTATTTCCCGCCTTTTTATTCAAGTAAGAAAGAAAAGGCTTTTGTTTATCAAACATTTAAAACATATTACTTCAGTTTTAATGATAAAATCCACAATGCATACTATACTTGTATAACTTTTTTTTAAAGTTCTACAGTGCAATGTAAGTCAGCCAGTCTGTTTATTCTTACTATTGCTAGTAGGTATTGTGTGAATTGAATTCACATTTGCTTAACACACACGCCATTGTCTGTCATTTCATTAGGCTCTGTCTGATTTGGGATGTAGCCCCAGTGAAGCTGTCATGATAGGAGATGTAAGTATATTCTCAACGGTGATTAATTAAGAGCAAGCTAAATTTTCTGCATTTAGCATAAAGGCTCATAATGAGCACCCCAAATGAAAAAGGAGTAAACATCTGTAAACAGTGGTCTGTACATTATACAGCCTGTTACTAATTTCTATAGTAGTGTGTAGTAACTTTTGTGCACTTTACTAAATGTTGGTCTGTGATTGTTTGTCTTTCTGCTGTTTTTGTACAGGATGCAAGAGATGATGTGGGTGGGGCTCAGAACGCAGGAATGTTGGGTATTTTAGTCAGAACTGGTAAGACAATCAAAACTTCACCCTCTCCCTCCACCAGTTGTCGTCTTGCATTGTTGCATCTTCATTACAACCTGCATTTCATGGTACTGAGTACTGATGTTTTAGTGACTGAATGCATTCCACCTTCTCTCCTGTCATCTTAGGTAAATACAGAGAAGGAGATGAGAATAAAATCAACCCTCCTCCCCACCTGATATGTGACAGCTTCTCACATGCTGTCGAACACATCTTGAAGAACCTGCTGTAAGATACAAGTAAGAACAAAGGCTACAGTTTCATTTTCTTACAGAACCTCTCATTTGAACAAGAAAACAATCCCAAGTTGTCACTGTTTTAGATTAGCGGCGTTATAAAATAATTCCTCTCATCCTACATATGTTAAAGGAAAAGAAACAATAATTCACCAGGTGATTATTTAATTCGGACTCATTCGGACACAAATTTAACAGAGCAGATAAAATAGCTGCAAAGACTCGGAATGTAAGAATTTATTTATTCGTATTATTTTGATGTCTTGTCTTGTCACTTATTCCCTTCAGTTGTGTTATTCATACAAATACGAGGCTGAGGTGGAACAGGTGTAGCATATTAAATGATGTGAGAAGAAAATTAACTGTCAAATATGTCTCCCGCAGTCATATAATAGTGATATAAACTAAAGTAATCTGATCATCTTGTTTCGTAATTATGAGATAATGCAGAGTTTGCATGTTGCAGAACGTGCCTGAAAATCATCAGGTTTTAATGAATTATATATCAAAGTAATTTAGTGATAGTTGCAAGTACATTCAGAAGTGAACTGTTAATAGGTAATTCGACATACTTGGTGTTCCAAAGCATAAAGAACCACACACTTACCAGCTACTTTATTAGGTACACCTGTCCACTTTTATACAATTCGATGCAAGACTTCCGCCTTTACATTTGTGTTGATGAAGCTCAATGTTTCAGTTTTTGGTGAAATTGTATAAATTCAGTTTATTATTGAGGTCAGTTACAGGTAGTGTTGTACTTGACTACATTATTTATTATTTAGAGGTCTCTCTATTTTTGTCCTCTTCAGTTTCATACATGAAAGGGTCATAATAGTAGGAACACCAGAATATAATGTAGTGCAGTACACCATTACCTTTAACTATGACACCAAGTACACCAAACTAGCTCTTGTCAGTTCATTTCTGCTATGTGCTTTTTTTTATATTTACAGACAATTACATTAATACAGATGAAATCTTAAAAACCCAATGATTCTCAAGCAGGTTCTGAAGCTTTCCAACTCCTGCTCTGTACATGTGGTCAGTTACACAGTAGGCAGCAACTTTAAGGCAGTTTTTAGCCTATATTTACATTTTTTGAATACTACGTTATATTATCTATTACTGAGTGTACTGACAACTATCACTGAATTACTTTGATACCAAAGAATTCATTAAACCTGATGGTTTTCAGGCAAGTTCCTGAATGTTTGAACCCCTGCATTATCACATAATTATGAGATAAGCTCCCCCATGTTTTTCCTTTGGTCAATACAGTGTGCTTCCATATTAACCTGTAATACTGGATACAAGGCATATGCTAATATACAACCCTCCCTATGGCTCCACAGTAGGTTATCAGCTACATGTTGTGGAGGTAGTCTTAATTTTTTTTCCCATAATAAGTTGTGCCTTTGTGTCAGACTGACTCGTACTCTTTCTCCCAGGCTGTGTATCTGTCCATCAAGTTTCGGGCCGAGGGCTTGGTGTGAGCGATGACGTCCAGGAAGTCTGCTGTTGTTACAGTTCCCAGCTGAATCGCAGGCAGGTCAGTCTCTTCTGTGGAGGAGAATCACAGCGAGGCTTATTCAGGAACTTATGGCTGTTGTGGGGGTTGATCTTTTTATGCGTAGTTCTCCACCCTTTCGCTGTGCGTTATCCTACCGTGCTGATGCGACTCCAGTGCACTAAAGATCTTGCGGACCGGTCTCATGGCAGCCTCCTTACACACCAATCTCATATCAGAGCCAGAGTAACCCTCCATTTCCTGAAACACACAAAATTACTTTTCCCCCTCCCAAACATGACAATTATCATGAAAGTGTCCAAGACAATCTGAAACAGGCAAATGATTTAATGGGTAAGGCTAGTCATTTTCTACATTAATAGTATTTTCAATAGTCCCCATACAAAGACAAACTAATCATGAATTGCCTCTGACGGTTAATCTGTCAGTCTCTAGCCTGAATTTTCTTATTTGTCTGTGCCATAGTTATTCAAAAACAAATAAAAACACCTCTGCGGTGGGTGACATTTTTCATCATTACAAAACAAGACGATAGAGGTCAGGCACAGACGAATAAACTAATCCAAGTTGGAGACTTGACAGATGTTAATCGTGAGTAGAGGGAATTCGTTGTTGGTTTTAGTCTCCGTATGGGAAGTGTTGACACTATAAATACAGAAAATGATGAGCCTTATCCTAAAAATATATATTGTAACGCACCTTTGCCAGAGTTTCATAGTCTAGCTCAGTTCGTAGCTCCACCCCTCCTGAGGAGCTGAGAGGAGGCAGCCAATGAGAGATCATGGCTTGGCGAGCTAGTGAGGAGGGTAGACTCACAAGAATCCTCTTCTCTAACCTCCTCAACATGGCGTGGTCTAGTTCCCTGAGACAAGCAAGAGTGGGCTTAGTTACAAATGTGCAGTTAACTCTGTTAGCATTTTATGTCTTTTTTTTTTTACACTAAAAATTTTACTTTTTGTGGATTCAAGAAAAACATTCAGCTTGTTTCTGTATGTATTTCTTTTTCAAATACTGTGTGCTCTGTGGCTAATTTAAATAACTTGGATGCTGAAATCTAAATAATCTGCATATGACTAGACAGCGTGGTTTGAGAAATTACAAGTGTGAGAGAGAAATAAAGCAGAAGTTAAAAAGGTTTACTAGTATTTGTGTCAGTATTTGTCTTTATCTTCATTTATTGATGTAATGACAACACATACATGAACTGGTTATCATGAGATAAATGCAGATGGTATATTTTTGCTGCAGTAAGTGTTACCAGGGCAGGTTGGAGGCAGCCAGTACAAAGACCAGGTCTTCTGATCTCGCCAGTCCGTCCATCTGCACCAGTAGCTCAGTCTTCATCCTGCGACTCCCCTCATGCTCTCCTCTGAAAATAGATGGTAAATGACTGCACTTATCACTTTTCTTCCTTAACATTAAACCACCTATACACTCAAACACTGAGGAAGAGCTGCCATTGAGAGCACAATGTAGGGTTCAGTGTCTTGCCCTAAAGATGTTTCAACAACCAACCTATGCTACCTCCTGAGCCACAGTCCCCCAATATCCTCTCCTACTGATCGTTTGTGTAGATTTACTGTATCTCCAGGACATTAGTTAAGTCTATTACATGACTGTAAATAGTATCTATGGTGTAAAACTGGTGGAATAACTACAGTATTGAGGACCAGTAATCCTCAGCACTGGTAAAACTGCCACATCTACACACTTTATCACACTTTGTAGTTCAGCTCACCCCATATTGCTTCCTCTCTGGCCCATCACTGATTCCAGCTCATCCAGAAAGATGGTGGAAGGGGCGTGGTACCTAGCCAACTCAAACAAGACCTGCACATATTTATACAAGTCTTAACTAAACAAAAAAAATGTAAGCAATGTAACATACAGTATGTTTCTCTTATGTGTTGCTTTTGGTCTGTTGTATGTGTTGACTGACAACCTACCCTGACCAGTTTCTCAGAGTCTCCCCTCCACTTGCTGACGATGCTGGAGGCTGAGATGTTAAAGAAGGTGGTCTTACACTCTGTAGCCACAGCCTTGGCCAGCAGGGTCTTACCTGTACCTGTGTGTAGAATAAGATGATCACAAGAGTACAGGTCAGGTAGAATTCCAAAATGTAAGAAAAGTCATAATAGTAGACTGAGTACAAGCAAACAGGTTTTTCTTCAGCAATGGAGGTGTTACCTGGGGGGCCATAGAGCAGCAAGCCCTTCCACGAAGACAGGATACCTGTAAACAGCTGAGGGTACTGTAGAGAAACGCATAGAGGGGAATAAAAATTGGGAAAGAAGAGACATCCCAGAGAATGAATAACAATGGAGACTTAAGTTAGGGATGGAGAGAAGGTGGATGAACGGTGTTATTCAATAAAGCAGGCCAGCAGAACAGAAGATAGACCCGTCAGTCCTCATCTAACTCTGTAAATGTCAAGAGGATGCAGATAGCCTGATTTGTTGTCATCATATCCATGAGAAAGGTCTGGGTGGTGATGATAGGTGTGTGTCAACTTTTATTTGTACAGTATGTGCATTTCTTCATATGGAGGCAAAGTCATGTGAATGTCACCATCTATGTAAATTTTGCATGTCTGTGTTCCTTGCTCCCTGCCTATCTATCCATCTGTGTATGTGTGGTACCATATTATCCCAGATATAGATTTAATGTCAACCTAACAGACTGACCTGACCCCGCTGCCCTTCATCTCTTTTAGCCCTTTAAAGAAGATGTATTCAGAATCGAATAGAGGCGACCAAGTGCAGAAATACCAGCGTGCTCAGGCGTCAGCCGTACCTTAATGGGATAGACGACGGCCTCTTTGACTAATCGCTTGGCATCCTCCAGGCCCACGATGTCCTCCCACCGCACACTGGGGCTGTGTAAATAGATGTCCTTTAGGGGCAAACACAAACAGAGTGAGAGACGCATGTGGAAGATATCGGTTACAAATGGACACACACACGTGTCCTGGTGGGATTAGGCTTGCGTAAATAGTTGTCCTTTAGAATGAAACACCAGATAAGAGAAACAGATAGAAACCATCAATCAACAGATCAATTTATTCACAACAAGGCTCTTCACTGCCCTCTGGTGTACAGGTTCAGAATTACAATAACCCTATTAAAGGATATTTTCACGTTTACATGATAATCTATGGCACAAGTTACCATAAACCAACTCCTTT